TCTCTCTCTCTCTCTCTCTCTCTCTCTCTCTCTCTCTCTCTCTACTTTAAAATCTAGAAATGAAAATCTCACGAATCGACTCACGCGTGAAGGGATTGAATTTGTATCATCTGTTGGTAGGGTTGGAGGGGGTACTGGCGCTGGTAATGTACTGACACCGCTTGTTAACCGACCAGTTATTGTCCGGCGAAACGGATTTCTATACATTACGAACAGAGATGTGCCTAAACAGAGAAGATTAAGATTTATTTAAGAAATGTCATATAATTTTGAGTCCATTATACGGATTACCTGCCAATAGCACTATTGATACCATAGAACCGATAACAATGCCGGCAATGGCTGCTCCACTCAGTCCAGACGGTCCTTCGCGGGCACTGCTCTTATTAGTTGTCGACGGCTTTTGAGTACTTAATCTCTTTCGCGCTCTTCTGGTGTGATATTCTGATGGCAACGACGACGGGATGGGAGGGCGTGTCGATGGCGGTGGACGTGGTGTAGGCGTCGGTTCAGTTGTCCAAACGATGGGCACCGGATCCATAGTATTGCGCGCATTAGTCCACGACATGACTGGAGTCATTGTAATGCCATTAAATCTGGCGGTCACTGCCTTATTGATGGGCTGCGAAGGCTGTGAGACAGTGGTCTCTAATTTCTCAGAGTAACCGTTGGAACTCATATGAAACGGTGTCTGAGTGTTGAGTCGGGGATCTAATGTGACGGGCATTAGCTCAGGTGTGGCCGCCGGCGGCAGGAATGGCGATATATTGGACGTAACGGTTGGCTCTTTGAACGGATTATTTTCAATGTCGTACAGCATTTCAGTCACTTGAGTGACGGCACCGTCGGGTGACTTCATGTCATAACTAGTAATTTCAATGGGAATTTCGGTGTTATGTCGGATCGGAGTCGGAATTTCTCTACTTTGTGAACCATTTTCATACAGATCTCGTATAGTCTTATCACTGGTGACGGTATCAATGGTTATTGAAGTCTTATTTATACTTTTCTGTCGGTTATGACTCTCCTCTTCTCCCAAAACGCCTCGATTTAAGTTTTGAGACAATTTGTCGTTCACTGAATTCGGAATATTCTGTGAATATTTTTCTTTGCTGTGATATCTATTAGCGATTACATTATATCTTCGCGGCTGTTGTCCGTTGTATCCGCCGTTTTCATTATATTTGCCACTCATCTCTTTCTTATGAGACACAGAATTATCATTTGACTCGTGAATCGGTCGCTGAGTCTTCATTCTCTTCCTGTACCTGTAGTTCATGTGTCGGACTTTCATAACGGGTTTAGGGTTTGGTATATATTCAGAAAATTCTTGAGTCGTTCCCAAATCAAAGCTCGGACTCTCGTCGAAGACCCGATCCTGAGGTTCGGCGA